TGTAGTGTGGTGGTGGAGGACAGTGTAGTGTGGTGGTGGAGACAGTGTTGTGTGGTGGTGGAGACAGTGTTGTGTGGTGGTGGAGGACAGTGTTGTGTGGTGGTGGAGGACAGTGTTGTGTGTGGTGGTGGGTGGTGGAGGACAGTGTGTGTGGTGGTGGTGGAGGACAGTGTTGTGTGGTGGTGGAGGACAGTGTAGTGTGGTGGTGGAGGACAGTGTAGTGTGGTGGTGGAGGACAGTGTAGTGTGGTGGTGGAGGACAGTGTAGTGTGGTGGTGGAGACTGAACAGTGCAGTGGAGAGAAAGAAATCTTTTCTTTTTACCCTTAGAGAAAGGGTAAAAAGAGAGATAAAGATGTTTATATAGATATTACTCGAGGGGGAGAGTAGGTTGTCAGTGGAGAAAGTTGATAAGAGAAATAATGTAATATTATATTATTAATTAAATATTAATGCTGTAATAATTATGTGGAAGAGATAGAGGAAGGTTATCTAGGCAAAGATAAGATTGGAGACAGTAGGAGGACAACGTCGTTTGAGGGGACGAGGGAGAACAGTAGAGAATAGGCAAGGGGAAGAGTCGATAATTCCTCCTTCATCACGAGTCCGAGTACACGTGCACACTCCCAGACACAACAAGACAGTTGATCTCCCCCCACAATTAAATAGCTGGGACACAAAATGGAAAATAATGGTAGAAGGAGAGGTAGGGAGAGAGAGAGAGAGAGAGGTGGCAGGAGTTATGAGGTGTAATTATGAAGCGTAAGGTTGAAATATGAGTGTGGGAGGACGGGACAGGGTATAAGGGAGAGGGGAGAGGGAGGGGGCAAGATATTAAAAGGGAGAGTGGAAGATGTGGGAGAGGAGGAGCTAGGACTTACGATGAGAGCGGGAAGAGGCTCGGATGAGAAGAATGTAAGGACTTAATAAAGAGAGAGAATGAAGGGAAAGAGGGCAGACAGAGAGAGAATGAAGGGGAAGAGGGCAGACGAAAATACTGAGAAAGATAGGGAAAGAAGATGGGAAGAATGGGAAAGATGGAAAGGGCGAGGATGACGGAGAGAGAGAGAGAGAGCGAGAAAGAGATTAATAGAGAACGAGTGAGGAATAGAAAATTAGGGGTAAGTCAGAGACGAATGAGATGGGAGAGTAAAAGAGAGAAGAAGCAACAGGAGGAGGAAGAGAGAGGAAGAATGTAGCAACACTTGGGAAGAGTCAAGAGGGGAAGAGTGAGGAATATGATTGGAATAGAGTGAGAAGAGCGGGAAGAGGGGATTGTCTTGCTAAAAAGTGATCGAGTCTGATAAAAGAAAAAAGTAAAGAAAGCGATAAAAACAAGATTCATACATTCATCACGATGATATTACAACACAAATCAACACACACTGAAAACAGTATGAGTTTAGGACACGGGAATAGCATCAAATGGAAGGATGGACAAGTTCGTTACCTTGAAGAACGCCGCCTTGAAGAACGCCGCCTTGAAGAACGCCGCCTTGAAGAACGCCGCCTTGAAGAACGCCGCCTTGAAGAACGCCGCCTTGAAGAACGCCGCCTTGAAGAACGCCGCCTTGAAGAACGCCGCCTTGAAGAACGCCACCTTGAAGAACGCCGCCTTGAAGAGCGCCACCTTGAAGAACGCCACCCTGAAGAACGCCACCCTGAAGAACGCCACCCTGAAGAACGCCACCCTGAAGAACGCCACCCTGAAGAACGCCACCCTGAAGAACGCCACCCTGAAGAACGCCACCCTGATGAACGCCACCTTGCAGAACGCCACCTTGCAGAACGCCACCTTGAAGAACTCCACCTTGAAGAACTCCACCTTGAAGAACTCCACCTTGCAGAACGCCACCTTGAATAACTCCACCTTGCAGAACGCCACCTTGCAGAACGCCACCTTGCAGAACGCCACCTTGCAGAACGCCACCTTGCAGAACGCCACCTTGAAGAACGCCACCCTGAAGAACGCCACCCTGAAGAACGCCACCCTGAAGAACACCTGCCTGAACAAACCTGTTAACGCTCGAGCTTCTACAGAGGACGACCAATGCAAGATTAAAATAAAAGAGATAAGAAACAGTCACAATAAATTACATATATATATCTTTATAATATATATAGTTAAGCTGGAAACGAACCACATCAACAGTATACTATTCGAGCATAATACTGGCAAGGCTGGAGCATCGTACATAATAATTAGCAATAATGCTTTTCAAAACGAAAATCAAGACAAAAAAAGAATTTGATACCCAAGCCTGCCCCTTGGGGGCCTCGTAGCCTGGTGGATAGCGCGCAGGACTCGTAATTCTGTGGCGCGGGTTCGATTCCCGCACGAGGCAGAAACAAATGGGCAATGTTTCTTTCACCCCTGAATGCCCCTGTTACCTAGCAGAAATAGGTACCTGGGAGTTAGTCAGCTGTCACGGGCTGCTTCCTGGGGGTGGAGGCCTGGTCGAGGACCGGGCCGCGGGGACACTAAAGCCCCGAAATCATCTCAAGATAACCACAAGAAGAAGCAACCATTACTCTTCCATTACTATGACATTAAAATGGTCAGAAGTGAACACAAGAGAACCAGTAGTGTTCTGAAGTGACTCAAGAGCCCCACTACAGAGCCTTGGGAAGGTAGGTAGCTATCAGGGAGAAAGTATCAAGCCATTGCGACTATATAGCACTGGGAAAGGGTCAGGATAAGGATTTGGGATGGGACGGGGGGGGGGGAAGGAATTGTGCCCAATCACTTGGACGGTCGGGGATTGAACGCCGACCTGCATGAAGCAAGACCGTCGCTCTACCGTCCAACCTCAGTGGTTGGGTAGACCCGGCAGAGAATAGAGACAATCGTGGTATTTAAGGCAGCTGCAAAAATGTTAAGGATTCAACAAAGGATGATAAAGTTTCTGTGAAGTTTCTGTGGAGTGACTTTCATGTTGGTATGTGTGAAGTTCACGGTGCAGGCTACTGAGTGCTACAGGAGACAGTGTTCAATACCTCTCACTAGAGATTCTTCTATACATCACAGGAGTTATTAAGGAACAACTCCGTGACAAGGTGACCGAAGAAAGACAAAACATCAGGGGGCAGATTCATGAAGCAGTTACACAAGCACTTACGAACCTGTACATCTTTTCTCAATCTTTGGCGGCTTTGTTTACAATTATTAAACAGTTAATGAGCTCCGAAGCACCAGGAGGCTGTTTATAACAATAACAACAGTTGATTGACAAGTTTTCATGCTTGTAAACTGTTTAATAAATGTAACCAAAGCCGTCAAAGATTGAGGAAAGATGTGCACGTTCGTAAGTGCTTGCGTGAATCTGTCCCCTGGTCGATGACTACGATGCTACGAAGCGAAAGCCTCAGTCATCATTGACCAATGGAAAGTCATCGAGAAGGAAAATAAGTAGCAGCCAGTATTAGCCTTGAATACTGGGAAAGGAGAGTCAATATGGAAAAAGAACAGCTAAGCAGGTCAGTGGTAGAGTCATGCGAGGATTGACCACCGCCTGCAGACTGTCCCCCATCTAAGAGACATTAAAAATATGTAGTATACTAAATTACCCATTGCTTGAGTGAAATAATATTGGTCAAGTATAAATATTTTTAATCGATTTCACGCAAATTCAAGGGTTGATGCGTGTTAATTTCCTTGTTCGGCTGTTATTGGTGTTCCAGCTGTTGTGTGTTCAAGTGATAGGCTGAACAACCCAGCGGGTGTTCTTCACAATGGGGGTGTTGTACATGCTGCTATGGTGGCATGTTCACTCACACAGTGAACACCCAGCGGGTGTTCTTCACAATGGGGGTGTTGTACATGCTGCTATGGTGGCATGTTCACTCACACAGTGAACACCCAGCGGAGTGTTTTCACAAGGGGGGTGTTGTACATGCTGCTATGGTGGCATGTTCACTCACACAGTGAACACCCAGCGGGTGTTCTTCACAATGGGGGTGTTGTACATGCTGCTATGGTGGCATGTTCACTCACACAGTGAACACCCAGCGGGTGTTCTTCACAATGGGGGTGTTGTACATGCTGCTATGGTGGCATGTTCACTCACACAGTGAACACCCAGCGGGTGTTCTTCACAATGGGGTGTTGTACATGCTGCTATGGTGGCATGTTCACTCACACAGTGAACACCCAGCGGGTGTTCTTCACAATGGGGGTGTTGTACATGCTGCTATGGTGGCATGTTCACTCACACAGTGAACAACCCAGCGGGTGTTCTTCCTTAAAGGGAGGGAAGAATATTGAACATATTGCTACGGCGATATGTTCACTCATTATATGAGTGAACACTGCCTAAAAACTCGTTCATAGAGACAAAATTTTAACATTCCAAGAGGTATAAGATGAGGAACCGTGAGTTTTATGTCTGATTTATGAGGGTAACCCTCAGGATGTCTGGCACCTCATGGCGCCAGGCACCTCATGGCACCAGGCACCTCATGACACCAGGCACCTCATGGCACCAGGCACCTCATGGCGCCAGGCACCTCATGGCGCCGGGCACCTCATGGCACCAGGCACCTTATGACACCAGGCACCTCATGGCACCAGGCACCTCATGGCGCCAGGCACCTCATGGCACCAGGCACCTCATGGCGCCGGGCACCTCATGGCACCAGGCACCTCATGACACCAGGCACCTCATGGCACCAGGCACCTTATGACACCAGGCACCTCATGGCACCAGGCACCTCATGGCACCAGGCACCTCATGGCACCAGGCACCTCATGGCACCAGGCACCTCATGGCACCAGGCACCTCATGGCACCAGGCACCTCATGGCGCCAGGCACCTCATGGCGCCGGGCACCTCATGGCGCCAGGCACCTCATGGCGCCGGGCACCTCATGGCGCCGGGCACCTTATGACACCAGGCACCTCATGACACCAGGCACCTCATGGCACCAGGCACCTCATGACACCAGGCACCTCATGGCACCAGGCACCTCATGACACCAGGCACCTCATGGCGCCGGGCACCTCATGACACCAGGCACCTCATGGCACCAGGCACCTCATGACACCAGGCACCTCATGGCACCAGGCACCTCATGGCACCTCAGGCACCTCACTGGCACACCAGGCACCTCATGGCACCAGGCACCTCATGACACCAGGCACCTCATGGCACCAGGCACCTCATGGCACCAGGCACCTCATGACACCAGGCACCTCATGGCACCAGGCACCTCATGGCACCGGGCACCTCATGGCACCAGGCACCTTATGACACCAGGCACCTCATGGCACCAGGCACCTCATGGCGCCGGGCACCTCATGGCGCCAGGCACCTCATGGCGCCGGGCACTCATGGCGCCAGGCACCTCATGGCGCCAGGCACCTCATGGCGCCGGGCACCTCATGGCGCCGGGCACCTCATGGCGCCGGGCACCTCATGGCGCCGGGCACCTCATGGCACCAGGCACCTCATGGCACCAGGCACCTCATGGCGCCGGGCACCTCATGACACCAGGCACCTCATGGCGCCGGGCACCTCATGGCACCTCCAGGCACCTCATGGCACCAGGCACCTCATGGCACCAGGCACCTCATGGCGCCGGGCACCTCATGACACCAGGCACCTCATGGCGCCGGGGCACCTCATGGCGCGGGCACCTCATGGCGCCATGGGCACCTCATGGCGCCGGGCACCTCACGAGGGGCACCTCATGGCGCCGGGCACCTCATGGGCACCAGGCACCTCATGGCACCAGGCACCTCATGGCACCAGGCACCTCATGGCACCAGGCACCTCATGGCACCAGGCACCTCATGGCACCAGGCACCTCATGGCACCAGGCACCTCATGACACCAGGCACCTCATGGCACCAGGCACCTCATGGCACCAGGCACCTCATGGCACCAGGCACCTCATGGAACCAGGTACCTCATATTTCCTCATGTCCATGTAAACCTACTCTTTGATTTTCTCATATTTCGCCAGCATGTAGGATCCCCCCCCCCCCCCTCTCTGAGATCACGAGTAGTATTCACGAGTATTAGGTTGTAATGAGAGCTGGTAATGAGTGGGTTCATTTGCTGGTGGGGAGAAGTGGATGAGAGGAGTTGCAAGGAAGGAGAGGGGGGAGGAGGAGGAAGGGGAAGAGGGGGAAAAGGATGTGAGGAGGGGGGAGAAGAGGAAAAGGGGAAGAAAGGGAAAAGGGGAAAGGGGGGAAGAAAAAAGAAAACGGAGGGGGAGGAGGAGAGGAACAAGAGAAAGAGGAAGGAGAAAGGGAGGGAATGGAGAAAGAAAGGGAAGAGAAAAGAGGGTTAGGTTACCGACGGGAAAAGAGGTAGGTGTTTCGGGACCTGACGGCTTGCTAGAGGGAGAGGAGGAAGGGGGAATGTAGAAGAAAGGAATAGGAAAACGGAAGGGGGAGGGGAAAGAAGGAGGGGATAGAAGTGTGACGGAAGATTGGGAATAAGGGAGGGAGAGGGGGTGAGAAGGGAAGAGTGTGAGAATAGAGGAAGGAGGGTGAAGGAGAGTGGAATAGTAGTGAAGTGAGGAGGTGGAGGGAGTTAGATTAAGGTGAGGGGATAGAGGGAGGAGGAGGGGGGATAGGCGGGAGGAGGGAAGGAGAGAGGGGGGGGGGGGGTTGGGCAGTGGGGTTTTGTGAGAGAGTGGGGAGGGAGTGTTGGGGAGGTTCTGGTTTTGGTTCACGCAGGTGGGGGGTGTTGTCGGGTGAATAAGGTCAAGGGTGGTATCTTGAGCAAGATGATTAATTTGAGGAGGAGGGGAGTAGACGAGGAGGGGCATTAAAGGAGGGGGTGATAGGCAGTTGTATTTATTTTTAGAGAGAGGGGGGGAGGAGGGAGAGATGGGGGGCGTGGGAGTGGGGGGGGTAGCAGGTTTTTGAGTGGGGTAGGTTTGGGCATGCAGAAGGTTTGTGGGCACCACGCAGGTAGTAGTATTTTATCGCAAAGAATAATCGTTCAGTCTTTCCGTAATTAACCCTGAGTGGTGTTCCCCTAAGCAGCTCGAATGACTGTTGTTTGGGTGGTTTGTCTGTTTGCTCGTTGTTGTTCTGTTGTTGATGCTGTTGTTGCAAGGTAAAACTTGGGCAAGATAAGATGAAACTTAAGGCAAGATAAAAATCTAACTTGAGCAAGATAGTCTAATTTGAGAGAGAGAGAGAGTAGAACGATTTTGAGAGACATTTTGTTTTAAACAAAATATGTGAGTGAATGAGTATTATTAACTCAGAGAGAGTCAGAGAAGGGGGAGAGGGGACAGAGGAGGTGGAAGTCAGAAGTTGAGAAGCCTCAAGGAGTCCTCAGGAAGTCAGCAGAAGTTGATAGTGGGACCCTTATTCTTAGCCCCCTAGTAGATGGATGTCCATTTTGGATTTGTGGCAAAACGCAGATTCCCCAGCCTCCTACTCTCCTAATATATCTCTCGTCTTTATTCTGGTTGTTCCTCTATTCTCTCTCTCTTCTAGTGTCTCTCTCTCTGCTGTCTACTCTTTTATCTCTGTCTCTCATCTCTCTCTGTCTCTCTCTCTCTCTCTGTCTCTCTCTCATCAATCTCTGTCTCTCTCTCTCTCGTCCGCTCTCTGTCTCCTCTCTGTATCTCTGTCTATCGCTCGCTCATCTCTCTCTGTCTATCGTCTCTCTATACTGTCTCTCTCCTCATCCTCTCTCTATCTCTGGTCTCTCTCTCTCTATCTCTCTCTCTCTCTTATCTCTCTCTGTCTCTCTCTCTGCTCTCCTCTCTCGGTATCTCTCTGTCTATCTCTCTCTATCTCTCTCTTCTGTCTCTATGGCTCTCTCTCTCTGTCTCTCTGTCTCTCTCTGTGTCTCTCTCTCTCTCTGGTCTCTCTCTCTCTCTGTCGTCTCTTCTCTCTGTCTCTATCTCTCTCTCTCTCCTCTCGTCCTCTCTCTCTCTCTCTCCTCTCTCTAGCTCTTTCTCTCTCTCTATCCCTCTCGCTCTCTTCTCTACTCTCTCTCGCTGTCTGTCTCGCTCTCTCTCTGTCTCTCTCCTTCTCTGTGCTATGTTTCTCTCTCTTCTCTCTCTCTCTCACTCTCTCTTCTCTCGTCTCTCTCTATCTCTCTCTCTCTCTCTCTCTTCTCGCTATCTGTCTCTCTCTCTCTCGTCTCTCTCCTCTCTATCTCTGTCTATCTCTGTCTCTCTCTCTCTCTCTCTGTGTCTCTCTCTCTCCTCTCTCTGTCTTTCTCTCTCTGTCTCTCTCTCTATGTCTCTTCTCTCTCGCGTGTTCCTATCTCTCTCTGTCTCTCTCTCTCTGTCTCTCTCTCTCTCTATGTCTCTCTCTCTCTCTCTGTCTCTCTCTCTCTGTCTCCTCTCTCTCTGTCTCTCTCTCTCTGTCTCTCTCTCTCAGTCTATCTCTCTCTCTCTGTGTCTCTCTCTCTCTGTCTCTCTCTCTCTCTGGTCTCTCTCTCTCTGTCGCTCTCTCGTCTCTCTCTCTCTCTCTGTCTCTCTCTCTCTCTGTCTCTCTCTCTCTCTGTCTCTCTCTCTCTCTGTCTCTCTCTCTCTGTCTCTATCTCTCTGTGTCTCTCTCTCTCTGTTGTCTCTCCTCTCTCTATCGATCTCTCTCTCTCCTTGTTCTCCTCTCTCTCTGTCTCTCTCTCTCTCTGTCTGTCTCTCTCTCTCTGTATCTCTCTCTAGTCTCTCTCTCTCTGTCGGTCTCTACTCTTCTGTCTCTCTCTCTTCCTATCTCTCGTCTATCTCTCTCTCTATCTATCTCTCTCTCTTCACTCTAGATCTCTATCTCTCTCTCTCTCTATCTCTCTCTCTCTATCTCTCTCTCTCTCTCTCTCGCTCCTCTCTCTCTCTCTCTCTCTCTCTCTCTCGCTATTATTGCTTTACTTTTAACCCTCCCTCCTCAACTCGTATCTCCATCCTCCCCACCCCCCCTTCTTTCCACCCCTCCTCCTCAACTCGTCTCTCCCCTCCTCCCCACCCCTCCACCCCTTCTTTTCCACCCTCCCCTCCTCAACTCGTCCTCTCCCTCTCCCCACCCCTCCTCCCACCCCTCCCTTTCTTTCCACCCATCCTCTTGTGCACCGTTTTTCATTCTCTCCGTTCCTGTCACCTACCTCTTCCTTTCTCCCAAACCTTAATCTTTCCCCCTTCCCTTGCTAACCTTCCTTTTATTATACATCTCCCGTCACCCCATCCCTTCTCCCCATTCGCCCTTCCCTTGTCAACCGCCCCCCCTTCCATCCAGTCTCCGATTCCCGTCATCTTCCCCTTTCTCTTTTTTATTTCATCCTTTCCCACTTCCCCATCTACTCCCCTTCGTTACTCCTCCATTCTGCTTCGTACATTTGCTCCACCTTCCCCCCTTTCCCACACATTCTATCTGCCTATTCCCCCTTTCTTCCAATTCCCCTAACTTCCTTCCTCCCTCCCCTTTCTCTTCCTTTCTCCCCTCCACTCCACCTTTTCTGCCTCCTCACCACTTTTTTGTTGGGGGGAGTAAAGAGGAAGGAGAGGTATAGGTGAAGGGAAGTTTAGAAGTGGGGAATACAGTGAGAGGTATGAAAGCAGGCGGCGGACTGTCCGCCTTGCTGACACGATATGTGGGTGTTGGCAGCTAAGCTGAGCTGGTTCTCCACTCTATTCCAGTTTTTCTGCCTCTTCCCCACCTCTCCCCCCACCCCCTCTCAGCCTCCTCACCCCCACCCTAATTTCCCTTCCTATGGAGTGACCCCTGTCACCCCACTTACCGTTACTTACTCCCCCCTCTCTCCCTCCCCCTCTCCCATCTGCTTCCCCCCCTTTCTCCCCCCTTTCTCCCCCCCTCTCTCCCCCCTCCCTCTCCCTCCCCCTCCCCTCTCTCCCCTCCCTCCCCTCCTCCCCCCTCCCCCTCCCATCCATCACCCTCACCCCCCTCCCCCTCTCAGTGTTGCCTCTCACTTGGTACTTTGTCCCTGATTGGATGGTTGTACCAGAGATGAGATTTTGCACTACCGGTCCGGTAATGGATTTGGAACTCTGATTCAGCTGTATTGTGAACTCTTATTTTGCTGGATTGTGAACTCTTATTTTGCTGGATTGTGAACTCTTGATTTTGCTGGATTGTGTACTCTTGATTTAATTATGCAGTTAGTTATTTCACTAATGGTATTAATACCATTGTCATACTGCATGCTTTGAACTAAAGCAGATTATAGGAAAAACCTGAGTTTTAAGTGTGAGGACAGGTTGTAAAGTTTTCCTAATATCAGTGAATATTGTTAAAATTATATATATATATATATATATATATATATATATATATATATATATATATATATATATATATATATATATAATATATATATATAATAATGTATATGAAGCTATGGGAGGATAGTCTATGTTAATTTTATGTTAAAATTTATGTTAATTTTCCTTAGATCAGGGCATCATTTTTTTATATTAATACAAGATTTTGTTTGAAATTTCTGGTCAAGAACAGCTGGTTGGCAGTGCCCAAATCCGTCCTGGGGGACTGTTATGTGGCCGTGACATGCGTATCCCTCTGGCATTCTGACGACCCCAAACATCCTATGTCTGTCCCGTACCCCCACTCTTCCTGCAAAGTTGGGTTAAGCCAACCCAACATATATCAACCCGTTCTCGTACTTTCTTATAGTCAATATTGACTTATTAAATACGTGCATATGTGACATAATAAACATACTAGTTTACCTTGAAAAGCTTCATAGAAAACACCGACCTTACCTAACCTTCTTAGTATGTTAAGATAAGCATCTTATTGCTTATCAATCTTATTGCTTCATCCCATGAAGAACCATTAGCCATTTCTTAAGAAGTTGATCTTGTAACCAACCAGGGGAGCCGGTCGGCCGAGCGGACAGCACACTGGACTTGTGATCCTGTGGTCCTGGTTTCGATCCCAGGCGCCGGCGAGAAACAATGGGCAGAGTTTCTTTCACCCTATGCCCC